TCTATACCCCCGATGATGTACCCGATCTCAGCAGGAGCTCTTTCTCCACTTTGGGTACGAGGGTCGGCGTAAAATTAGCCATGAAGTTAGCTAGGATTTGCGACTTGATGGCCCTTCGTGGTTGATACTCGATATCATACCCGCTAAGTTCGACGGCCCATTTGGCCAACCGGCCCGATAGCTCGGGCTTATGCAAAACGTTTCGAAGGGGGTAAGTTGTTAATACATATATGGGATGACACTGAAAATATGGTTTTAGCTTCCTAGATATGCTTATCAATGCAAGTGCTAATTTTTCTTGGTGAGGGTATCTAGTTTCAGCATCTCCTAAAGTTCGGCTCACATAATAAATAGGGAACTGCGTACCTTGCTCTTCTCGACTAGTACACCACTTACCACTATCTCGGATACTGCCAAGTATAGGTAAAGTTTTTCATCTACCTTCGGGGTGTGAAGCAAAGGCAGGCTCGATAGATATTGCTTCAATTCTTCTAAGGCTTGCTGACATTCCGTGGTCCACGCGAAATCTTTCTTCTTTTTAAGCAAGGAAAAGAACCGGTGACTTCGATCTGATGACCTCGAAATGAATCGACCTAGGGAAACTATTCGTCCCATTAGACTTTTCACGGCCTTCACACTATCCGCGATCGTGATATCCTCGATGGCCTTGATCTTATCAGGGTTAATTTCGATACCCCGATTTGACACCATGAAGCCGAGGAACTTACCCGCGCCAACTCTGAAGGCACATTTCTCCGGGTTAAGCTTCATGTTGTACTTTCTCAAAATTTTGAATGTTTCCTGCAAATGATTCAAATGGTCCTCTGCGCGCAAGGACTTAACCAACATATCATCAATGTAAACTTCCATTGTTTTACCTATTTGTTCTTCAAACATTTTGTTGACTAGTCGTTGATATGTAGCTCTCGCATTTTTTAGCCCGAAGGGCATTACATTGTAACAATAAGTTCCAAATTTAGTAATAAACGAAGTCTTTTCCTGGTCCTCCGGGTTCATCTGAATTTGGTTATACCCGGAGTAGGCGTCGAGAATAGTTAGGATCTCGTGGCCGGCCGTGGCATCGATCATACGATCGATGTTGGGCAGTGGAAAGGAGTCTTTTGGGCATGCTTTGTTCAAGTCCTTATAGCCTACACACATTCTAAGTTTGTTTCCTTTTTTAGGAACTACAACTACATTGGCTAACCATTCGGGGTACTTTACCTCCCGAATAGACCCTATTTTAAGAAGTTTGGTTAACTCGTCCTTTATGAACGCATGTTTCACCTCGGACTGGGGCCTCCTTTTTTCCTTCACCGGTTTGAACCTGGGGTCGATGCTTAGCCGATGTGTGGTGATTTCCGGTGGAATCCCTGTCATATCTAGATGGGACCAAGCAAAGCAATCCATATTATCAATAAGAAATTGAATGAGTTTTTTCCTGAGTTCAGGGGTTAATCCCGTTCCCAGGTATACCTTTCTCTCGAGCATGTATTCGATCAGTATGGCCTACTCCAGTTCCTCGACAGTTGATTTGGTTGCATCGGACTCTTCGGGAACGATGAAGGTTCGAGGAGTAAGGAAGTCCTCTTCTTCGTCTTCGATTACCTGTTGCTCTAATTTCGTTGAGGCCGGGGGCGGTGATTATTTAGCCGCCTGCTTACCTTTGGTGCTCGATTTCTTCGAGGTCGAAGGCTCTAGTATCGGCACCACTTCCTCAACTGCAAATATCTCCTTTGCAGCATGTTGCTCTCCGTAAACTATTTTCACTCCCTCCTCTATTGGGAACTTCATCATCTTGTGAAGAGTTGAAGGCACTGCCCTCATGTTGAGTATCCACGGTCTCCCGAGGAGTGCATTATACCTCATGTTGCCTTCGATGACATGGAATTTCGTATCCTGTATGGTTCCGGCTACGTTTACTGGCAGAATTATCTCCCCCCTTGTTGTTTCGCTTGCCATATTGAAGCCATTTAGGACCCGGGACGCAGCTACAATTTGATCTTGTAGGCCGAGTTGTTCTACGACCCTCGATCTGATTATGTTTGCGAGCTACCTGGATCCACTAGAACACGTTTAACTTGAATTTTATTTAAAAGGATAGAAATTACCAGGGCGTCATTGTGCGGTTGAGATATGCCTTCCGTTTCCTCATCACAGAATGATAAGGCATCCTCGGGCACATAGCTCCGAGTCCGTTTTTCTCTGGTGATTGATACCTTGGTGCATTTGAACACAGGTCCTTGTGGGATGTCGACACCGCCAACGATTATGTGGATTACATTTTGTGGTTCTTCCTGCTCATTTTTTCTTGCATCTCTCTCCCTGAAGTGGTTTTTAGCCCGATCACTGAGAAATTCTCGAAGGTGACCCTCGTTGAACAGCCGAGCTACCTCCTCCCTTAGCTGCCTGCAGTCTTCGATTCTATGGCCATGTATGCCATGATACTTACACATCAAATTTAGATTCCTCTGAGAAGGATCGGTTTGGATAGGCCTGAGCCACCGGGTATCTATGATTCTTCCAATAGCTGACACGATCCTTGATGCGTCTATACTGAAATTATACTCTAACAATCGAGGTGCCTCCGCGGGATCGGTGTGTTTATCGAACCCGCTCTTACTCATGAGTCCCCGAGAGCTTTGACCTCGATCGTTTCTGTGATCGTTTCGAGGAGCGTTGTGGCCCGAACCATTGTTTCTCCAATCAACATATGGCTGATACTGTTCTTTGTTTGACCTTGATTCCCTGTCTGTATCCCTCGGGGGCTTAGCTGCCGACCTGTTAGGATGAACTGAGCCCGAGGAGGCTCTCAACTGGTCGTCCTCGACCCTAATATTTGATTGGTAACGGTTATGTACACGTCACAGCTGGATACTCAATCAGATTCTGCTTTAGTTGTCGAGACGCGATCGAACTCCTTTTATTCAAACCCTGCATAAAAGCTTGTACTGCCCAGTCATCCAAGACCGGTGGTAACTCCATGCGCTCCATCTGAAACCTAGACACGAACTCCTTTCAACACCTCGTCGTTCCTTTGTCTTATCTTGAAGACGTCCGACTTTCTTGCTGCCACCTTTATGGCTCCGGCGTGTGCTTTCACGAAGGCGTCTGCTAACATAGCAAACGAATCAATAGAATTAGGAGGCAAGTTGTGATGCCAAATCATAGCTCCTTTTGACAATGTTTCTCCAAATTTTTTTAACAATACTGATTCCATCTCATCGTCGTTCAAGTCATTTCATTTGATTCTATAAGCGTATGAAGTAATATGCTCGTTAGGGTCGGTTGTCCCGTTATACTTGGGTATATCGGGCATGCGAAACTTTTTAGGGATGGGCATGGGAGCAGTGCTCTGATGGAATGGTTTTTGTATGAACTTTTTTGCATCTAAACCTTTCAAAACTGGAAGTGCCTCCAGTATCTTGTCAACACGGGAGTTATAAGTCTCCACCTTCTTATCATTGTCCTCAATTTCTTCTTTTCCCCGGACTCGATCCTCTTGGTGAGCTCTTCGAACATCCTCATAATGGTGGGGTCAATCCCTGAGTCATTTCCGTTCGACCTCTCTGGTGCCGGTTCAGCACGTCGAGTGTTTTCTGGTTCAACTATACTCGGAGTTTTATTCTGGCTTTAAAGTTGAGCGATGGCGATCTGCTGACCTTGCAGCATATCGAATATCACTTGGAGGCTGACTCCCCCATCTCCCATACCTAGTGTTCCTTAGCCCCCAGATCAGGCTTCTCTGCGTACACTCCCTCTGGGGTCTGCGCCTAAATCTGCATCCAAAGCAATATGTGAACTGACATCAAGTGGTTCCACATTTTGCACTTTTCCAGGGTTTATCGGTGGTACACCGACCCCTAAATTATTGTTTTCCCCTTGAAATCCAAGACCTTCGTTGTCATGAATAGGTGCATTTTGCGATTTCGACATGTTTAATCTTGAGAATCAGAAAATCTTGACTAGAAAAAGCGTAAAAATAACGTGTGTAACGAGAATCAGTAAAGAAATAATCACTATTATCTTTAGCCTCACGGTGGTCACCAAACTGTTTACCTCGAAAATACGAGTAACAATTAAATTTGATTTGTGGTTTTAAAGATATGTGATTTAGTTCAATACCAATTAATAATCAAGAAATGTAAAATATGAATGAAAGCAACAAGTGAATCAAACAGTGTCACTCAAGCAGTTCTGACCTCGAGCTTGGTGACCTCGAGATGAACCAAGAATAATAAAGTAAGAACAGTGGAGGGAAAAGACAAGTCTGATAAGCAATGAGCCAAAAAAGTAAGATAGTATATTTTTTGCCAATGATTAGATGATGTTACAAATGATTGGGGTGCCCTTTATATAATAGGGAAACCCTAAATAAGGTACATTTCTATTTACGGTAAGGAATATCATTGGTACAGCTGTCTAACCGCCTAGTACGGAATCGTACAATCCTATTCCGGGATTTGCGCCATGATCTTGGGGACGTGGAAGGAATCTTGCTCATTCTGTTACAAATCCTTAACGGCATTATTCGGGGTCGAGCATACTCAGCTTCGGTATTCCTCGTACTCCTTTCTTCGAGCATTGCATTCTGTCTTCGAGCTCGAGTCTGGTTCGTCGATCTCGAACTCGGCCTTACCCGAACTCGGACCTAAGGCGATCCTTGGAGCACTAGTACTTTTGATTGAGATCATGAAGGTTTGAATACTGGCATTTGCAACTTCAACCTCGACTTTCATTGATATTATAGTTGAATTAAAAAGTTAATACTATCTAATTGCAAAACAAGGAAAACCAATAGGCAGTTGTTCTCATCAAATGAGATTGAAATTATAATCTTCTAGCATTACGTAGGAACAAAAATCTTAGCAAAACCAAAACGTGTGTTAATTTCAAAGGAAATGTTTTGAGAAAAGCATAAAAACCTACAAAATGCAAGAAACCATCGTCTTATCTATAGAAATCTTCAAAAGTCAAAACACCATTAGTAAGAAGTGTTATAATGAAAACAGTATCTATTTCATCTGCAACATAGTTACTTAAAAATGATGCCTCAAACATAGAGCGCTTGTACAATCTGCAACGAGTACTGAATCAGAAAATTCAGTAGTTATTTATAGTAGATCCTAGGTTCATATCCCCTATTTATAGTAAATCAAAAGGGATGTTGAATACAATCTGAGAGAAAAACAAACCCCAGAAAAAAGGGGAACTAAGAGAACAGACACCAGCAGCTTTGCCAGTCACTACACCGAACAAAAAGTTAAAAATAAAAAAAATATATAAAAATTATAACTCTACCTCTCAATGTAGTTCGAATGGTATCCGCTTTGTTGTGGATGCACAACACATCAACTGCAATGGATGGTGTCAAGTATAATCTGATATACATATACGAGCCTAAATTACTTTCGAAAAATTGAAACCTCAAACCATCACAAAATCCCTTTAAAAACTGCTCTCTCTGAATATGTATACTTTATCTGACAGGCCCCTCGTTAGCTCTATATCATCAGCTATAGCTGAAATGCATATTTTTTGGATATATGTATTAAAATTCGCAGCCCACTTGCTATTCTCAAGGCACTTTTAAGAATCTTCAGATATCCAAAATAAAGAAATTTCCTATGCCGCAATTCCTGGAAATATTCAAGAAGAAAATGTTAAGCAGTCTCAATATCTGAACAATTTCCCACAAAGTAACATATAGCATTGATTCAAGAGAACATGTAATCTCGGAGAAAGATAATGCACGAAAGGTTATTCTGCATTTACCCAATAGCAAGTTTGACGGAAGACATGGAAGCAAAACAATACATTTTTGTATATGACGAAATTTCAGTGAATGAACACTGCATCCATGAGCAAAACAGGTTTGTCTATTCCCCGCATTTGAATAAGGGCATTAATTGCTATTAAATTTGTTACCAGGAGCCTATAACTTATATCTTCAGAGTTCTTTCTTCTGTCCATAAGACGTGATTGTTATTTTCTTAAAGCAAACACAAAGTAATGTTCCAAAACATTTTCAGTCCTTTTATATGTCCACTACAGATTCATCAATATGGGCCAATAAAGGGCAGAGCTCGGGAAAGAGATAATCCTCCTTCAGTCACTAACTATGGATCTCCTGTAGCTCTCCAAGACCATAGGGAAGGTAGGAAATAAAAATTTTGAACCATAACGCCATAGGCCTCAAGCAGCAATGGCAGCGGATTGGCAACGAGAGGAAGGACCTAATTCATCTCCCATCCGACCACCATTCCTATTCTCTAGGTATTATCTCATGCTAAATCAAGGAACTTTTTTCTCATACTCATTGATAGTGATGAATATGTAATTGGGGCATGTTAACTTGAAACCAAAGTCGTACTGCAAAGTCATATTACAAACATAATTTGAATTTTTTTTCAATACTGTATGCCGTCAAAACAATAGGACAACTCTTTTACAAAGGTGATGATCAAACGTTATAAGGTACATGAACAGCTCCTGCACTAATTGTCAGAAGGAAAAATAATCCACGTACTTACCCTATTTGCCATTCAAAACCCCAATTCCCATATTACTGGGGCTTACACAGATCCCTAGTTCACTCACCCTCATTCCCATAACCACAAGGTTTTACTATCTTATGCCAGCTCCTGAAAACTGTTTCTGGTTTACTTAAGTGATTGAACTATGCTTATGTAAATTGAAGAGCCGCTTAAGTAAAAGTAACGGCTACAAGCTTCACCATTATAATCTTAAACTTAAGAACAATTCCCAAGAACTTCAACTCTAAGACCTATTTATTTTTGTCTTTGGTTAATTTCACTTTTAGGCAAATATTGCAGACATTGAAAAAGAATACAAACGCAAGATTGCCAAGGACCTAAAGGAAAAGCTGCATGCCCACTGTTCTGCTAAAATTCCAGCTAAAGATGTTGAACAGCGTGTCCTATTTAATATAGGAGAAAAAGGTCAGCGAAGGTATCCTCACGTTTTTTCTAATAAGGTATCTTCAAGCTTCATATGAGGCATACCGGGCGGTGTTTCAACCACTTCCATTTTTGTGGACAAAGAAGACTATTTCACCCCACTATAAGGTAATTCAAATGAGCATACCAAATCAATGTAACAAACAGAAAAGTAGGGGTGTGGAACAACACCTTTTTTACGTTTTGAATCCTTTTAACATATCTCACTCCAAATCTTCCTATCAAAACTACGCTTATGACGTTAACATAGTTTATAGAATGTTAGCTTAAATTTGAACTTAGAACAACTACTAACTAAAACGAGCTCAAATCCTGTTGCGCCATTTTGTGAATATTTTAATGATCTTTCAAGTTAGAGTCTACTAAATCAAAAAGGTGTCCTTGCAAGCCAAAAACCAAGTTCCTATAAAAAGAAGCATACTAAATCAAGAGGGGGAAAAGCCAGCTATATCTAATTGACCAACATTGGTAATAAGACAGATATATGTCAAGAATCAAGAGAAATACATCAAAAGGGAAGGCACAATACGAAGCCTAGGTTAGAAATGACAGAAGAAAATTATCAAAATCATACAGGGTATGCAATTGGAAGAGCATTCGTACCTCTATTCGATTGTCTATTGGCAATACTATAATTTCCAATATAACTCTCGGAGTCTTTAGCTGAAACATTTGTCGGATTTTCAAGTCCATATCCAAATGAACTAGAACCATCCGCATCAGAAGGCACAGCTTGCCAAGTCGGATCACCGTATATTGAGCCATAAGGCCCCTCATAAGCACCACTAGATGCAGCAAAACCTGCTGCATTGCTTCTTCCAAGTCCTCCAGATCCAAGGCCGTAACTGTTTCCCGCACTCCTGAACCCAACATTCTGACCAGTAGAATTACCAACTGGAGCAGAAGAGCCCCAATTGGCACCATTATTCCCAAAGACCCCATAAATACCAGTTCCAGAACCCAAAAAGGAACCGGAGATACCAGGACTTGGAGAACGGTTAAGACCGCTGTTTCCCCATACATTCCTGGTTGGGGAGCTAAGCAAAGAATCACCTCTACTGCTCCCTGTGCTATATCCAATGGGTGTAGCATATCTGCTTGAGCTGCCGCTGAAATATGGGCTCAGAACCCGCCCATAACCAAGATTATTATTGTTAAAGTTGGAAGCTCCTGCAAACGTGGGGCTCAAAGCTGGGTCCAAATTGACACCCATTCCATAAGCAGGAGTAGAAAACTGAGACAAACTTGTACGTCCGCTGGCAACTGGATTAAACCTACCATCCATCCTGACCCCATATCCTCCAATCGAACCTAGACTATACCCTTGAGCATAGTTGTTGAGAAGGCTATTTGCTCTACCAAGTCCGTAGTTGTATCCGTTGAAAGGGCTCCGGTTGGGCCCCGGAGACATCTCTTTCGGAACGGCGCGCTTCACCTCAATCATTTTACCATTTAGGTCATGAAAGGTCTTATACAATGCCCTATCCACTGCATCCTCCGAATCATAAGTTATAAAACCAAAGCCTCTTGGCCTCTGAGTGTTGTGGTCATACATCACTACAACATCTGTAATTGTACCAAACTGATCAAAGTATTGCTTGAAGTCACTCTCAGTAACAGTAGATGCTAAACCTCCAACGAATATCTTTTTTGTGCGTCCAGAACCCGGAGATCCTTGAATGCTGTTGTTGTTTCTATTTATCGTCTGTTGGTCATCCCTAGGAACAGCCTTCTTTGCCTCAACCTGAAAATTGGATGCCAACGAAGAATTTGGAGAAACAGAGATGATAATTCATTTGATTCTAACTAGCACAATCCAGCATGAATTAAGCATCAAGTGAAATTTTTCGGAAACATTTTGGGTAATACCATCAATTATGTGTAGTAAATTTTGAACAGCAAACTTGCTGAACTTGTCACAAATGACTTTACAATTTCTCACAGTCCATGTTACAAAAAAACTAACACAATGGAAGCAAAAAATCGTATAGGTGATACCAACAAGTTGAGATTGGGGTTTAGTCATGATATTACTGATTACTCTTAAGTAAAGCCAAGTGTTTGATAGGATTCCTTTATAGTCTGTTTAAAGATTAGTACGTCAGTAGAAAATGTAGAGAACTTCTAGCACTAAGGAAGCTAAAGTTATAGAATACTGGAATGAAGCAGGTCCAAATGGAGTGAAATAGATAGCGAGAATTCATACAGCCACAACCCAACTAACTAGGCATTGAGGCGTAATAGTTAATGTATAAACTTGCTGAACTATAATCAGACATGTAACGGGAAACTGACCGTTCTGCCATCGATGATGTGCTTCTCTTGAACGACTCTATGAGCAACTGCATGATTGGCAAAGACAACAAAGCCAAAACCACGAGCACGACCCGTGTTGCGATCTCTCATGATCACAGCTTCCACCACCTCTCCATACGAACTGAAATATTCTTTAAGACGTTCTTCATCTGTGTCCCAAGATATCCCACCTATAAATAGCTTACCGAGATCTGTCTCCATCATTTCTCCTATCATCATTCAAACAATGAAACAATTACATCTACCACAACAATAAAAACTACTCTATACAGTACACAATTAATTGAATGCACAGGAAACAAAATCTAGGAAAATTAAAAATAAGCACACAGATCCAGATGTGGATAAGAATAGTATTCCGTGAAATATAAACCTTTATCAAGAAAATCAGGCAGACCCCAGTTTGCAGAATACTGTTCTGTTGTTGGATTCAATCAGATCTTTGTACCATCAATCAGTACTCAATCCACTGCCTCTGTAAATTCACAATTCAGATAGATCAGAGACTCATTAAAAAAAAAAGATTCAATTTTTCTAATAAAACAGAAAAGTGTATGTATGAAGTAGCAAGAAAATGCAACATTTGGATACAAACCAGAGATCTAAGAGAAGGCATAACAAAATGAAAAGAGAGAATGTGGTTATCATCCTCTTCCTTTCTCTTTTCTTTTCATTACTCTCTTTGGTTAATACCAAAGCTTCTTTTTATATAAAATGGAAAATGGCAATGCCGAACAAATATAATGTTGGGTAGAAAAAGAGAAAATTATATATACAAGAAACAAAGAAAGAAGAGGATGTTGTGCGTGTATGGGTGAGGTAGCAAATCTTTTTTGTTGGAAGAATATTTGGAGTGCACAACATGCCACACGACGACTACCCTTTTGTTTAACCCAAAAGCCTATTACTACCATTTCTATGCCATTTACTTTTTTATTTTTATTTTTCTATAACTAGTACTCACTACTTTGTTTGGTACATTTTTCTACAACTAGTACTAGTACACTAGTAGCTATAGCCTATTACAATAATGGAAATAAACTGTTAGTTCACGTTAATATTTGTTTAATAATCTCATCGTCCCAGCCAGACTATTGGATTACTTCATTGATCATAAGCTCGCACCCTTCGGTGCTTTAGTTCAACGATACCGGCGCTATCTTAACGATCGGTTTGCCCCAGAACATTCCGTTAAGTCCAGTTGACAAGATGTTAATATTGCAAATAAAATTATCATGAAAGAGAAAGAATATAACAACAACTATTATTATTACTATGCCTCAGTGCCAAACAAGTTGGGTCGACTGTATGAATTTTTACTTTATTCTTTAAGCTCAACTCATATCAACATACAAAAATAAAATAAAATAAAATAAAATAAAACAAAATAAAAGTGAAAGTAAAAAACTAAGATAATAATCTACTAAATTTAGAACATATTTTTTAATAGTAGGTATCACATATATGGTAACCTAAAACAAATATTTTTGTGTGTGTCATTAACTGTGTTCCTATTGATATGATGAGAAAACAATACTTTAGTTTAACCAACTTTTGTCTCTACTTATGGCAGTAGTTACGTCAAATATTACTACTTGCTGGGTACGTGGCTACGTGCTTTGTTTGGAAATTAAAAATGATGGTCTATCTACAAATAATAAAGACATTCTGCAAGTAAACCTACAATTATGGGTTGTTTAATTCCCGGTCTAACTATGAAAGGATTACAATGCAATGTGTTTTTATGTACATCGTAAGAAATTGTAATACAGTAAATAATTTATAGGAATTGCTATTATATTGGTGGAAAAGTAGACTCGCCACGTGGACTAATGATGTTTACCTTGAAAATGGTAACTACAATTATATTTGATTTTGTAGTTCTAAAAATACGTGATTTATTTTTATGGTAGTTGTTAAGCAATAGATGCTAGGTATAAGTAAAGACAATAAGATGTGCAAACCAATGGGGTCACAAAGCTGGACCTCGAGCTGGCTTGAGCGAGACCTCGTGGTCTAGATGGGGTTAATAACGATGAGCTATTAACAAAGAATCAATGATAATGAGGGCCTTAAAGACGGCCTTTTATGATTAATAATGAGCAATAAATGATGAACAATGAATGAACAATGTAGAAATAAGTAGTAAATGTGTAGAACAATCGTGTTAGCAAAGAGAGCAGAGAATGTTGTGTTATATTCAATATATCCCCCTTACAAAATGACAAGGGTCCCCCTTATATAGGAGGGGTGAATCCCAACATAGCACATGTCTAATAAATAAAGAATAAATGCTTCTAATACAGTTGTGCAACGGCTCAGTATGGATTTGTACTATTTTTGCAGACTCTGTCAGTCCTCATCACGTGCTCTCAGGAGCCTCCTACTCCTTTATGACGATCGTCGATTTTCATGCCGCCTCGAGGCGCCCTGCCGAGGAGAGTGCTTCGAGGACGAGCCTTGAACCGTGCTTTGATCCTACCGAGGCCGGGCTTGAAAACACCATCGAAGCCTTAAAATCGGCTTTCCCTGATTTTAACCGTACACAGATAGTCCCCGCATTCCTTGGAATGTAATATCAAGGAACGGTTTGAATTCTTCAACTCTTCAATGCATCCATCATTATGTTAGTTACGTCACGCAAGCGGTTGGTGTGACAAAAAAGGGATGTTTAAAAGTCACGTTCGCACGGCTCTCAAAAAAGCCTCGAATTGATTACAACGGTTAGCCGTCCCTGGGCTTTTCCCAATGTGCACTATTGGCCCCAATAAATACTCCAATCCTTCGTTCCTTACTTTCCATCCCATCTTCGAACTTTAAGAAGCTCTCCTTACTGCTTTCCTGCGCTCGTTTTTTGCCCAATTTTTCTCTTCCCCTCTGAAATCTTTCAATAGAAATGGCGAAGACCTCTAGAACCGTTCCTCAAGGCGATAATGCTTCTTCATCTTCACGCTCGTCTAAGGGCAAGGCCATAACGCCTCCTAGTCTTGAAGAATGCATGCCCGGACCCTGTGAGACATCCTTCGATTTTACGGTTGATAAGCCTTCTTCGAAACCAGGGCGGTGCGAACCCATGTCCAGATACGTTAATCTGATAACCAACATCGAGAAGGTAAAAGCTGACTGCCGCTGGGGAGAGGCGGTGCAGGTGGAGGCACCCTTTCGGGAGGAAGATATAACGACACACAAACCCGGTTTCCTTAGCGTGTACACATATCCCTTCACCCTAGGTCCGGTAGGGCCATCCTCTCCATCGATAGACCCTGTAATCCTCGACTTCTGCGGCCAATACCGGGTGACTCTTGGCCAAATTCATCCATCATTCTGGTGCGTCGTTTACATGATTAGGCACTTTGCAAACATGGTCGAAGGGTTACCTTTTCTCCTTGACCATCTGATTAGGATGTACAGCCCCCGACTTTATTGGGGCGGCCTGATTAAGCTTCAACGTCGGGTCCCGAAGGCTTTCTTTGCATGTACCGATGAAAGCAAGGACAGGGAGTGGATGAGTCGCTTTGTCCGAGTTAGGACTTCGAATTTAATTCCTGCTGAAAGTATTTCATTCCCCGAGGAACGGAACATGAATCGTAAGAAATACGTTGATTAACTATTTTTTCATTTCTTTGGACCATCTTCCCTCCTGAACTAACTTCTTTCGTTGGTGCGCAGCTGTTGAGTGGTACCCTGGCGCGGTTAAGGATCTTACGGGCTGGGTTCGCCAGCTCGATTCGATCTACCCGTATGATAAGCACGTATGGCGCGATCTGGCCAAGGCCCGATGGGAAGCAAAAAACCACGGTGAGGTTTTTCTTCTGCCGTACCTGAGCTCGTTACAGGAGGTACTCCTTAACCATATTCTCAGCTTTCGTAACTGCCTTTGGTGTTTGTGCAGGCCTGGGAGATGCCCCTTTGATGAGGGAAAGCTCTACCGGGGAGGCGGACACCTCAAGTCTTTCCAAGGAGCAGAAGAGAAAGAGAAAATCGCCGACTGAATCCTCGAAACCAAAGAAGGCAAAAGCTTAAAATCCTAAGGTTGATTCAGCGGACCTAACTTCGGAAGCAGCGGAGGGTCTCTGAGCTAGGGGCGAAGAGGAGGATGACTCCCTGCATGTGCTCGGGGGAAGGAGAAAGTGTGTCTGTCTCGGGTCTTGCTGGGCCGATGGCTGTTGAGCCAAAGGTTTCCAAACCAGAAGTTACTGATGTTGTCCCACCTCGGGCCGAAGAGGCTCTCGAGGGTGGATCAGATAATGCCCCTGAGCCGGTCAGTGACAAGACATTCCTCGAGCCAAGGGGCTTATGGAAAATGAGTTAGGGAATCCCAGCTCAAAGGCCCCTCGAAGGCAAGGGAAGGCCCCGATCGATCCAATTGGAGTTATTGATGTGGCTGGTTCTCTGTTGGGTCCGGCATTATCTCCGAGGGAGATACGGGATGTCCAAAATAGAAAGGCTTCCGATGCCGGGGCATCCCTCGGGGGGAATAACTTGTTTGAAGGACTCTTTCCCGGGGTCGAAGAAAATCCCGAACTCAATACCTCGCTCATCCTCGAGGAAGTCGAATGGCTATGCAAACAGGTGATCCGTTGTCGATTTCGCTTCAGGTTTCAATCCTCATCTTTACTGATTTTGTTCTTGGATTCTTTCAGGCCATAGTGCTTTACAATCGGGCTGTTGCTAAGTCGCAAGCTGAGTCAACCCGTTATGAGGAAGAATGTAGGAGGCTCTCATCAGAGGCTGACGAGCTTAGAGCCCTTTTAGCAAAAAGGGAGGAAGAACTTCATGACCTTCGAGCTCGTTCGGAGGCGGTGTCTCGAGAGCGAACTGATCTTGCTGTGCAGGTAATACAGTCTTTGCATGTTTTTATTTTTGCGCTAGTCCGACTTCGGAACTTAACACCTTTGGGTTGATATTTGTAGCTTGAGAAAAATGACGCCCTGATGAGGGAGGGGTTCGGAGCCAGGGATATTGAGATTCTCGGACTCAAGCAGCGTGTGGATGAGACAACCTCCGAGAGAGATGCCCTTCAAGAGAGGTTGACCTCGGGCGAGCGTCATCTTCGAGATGCGAGGGCGGATAGTAGTAAGTGTAAGGATCTCCATGTTGAAACGGTCGTCGCGCTATCTGTAGCCAAATCTAAATCCGACGAGCTCATGTCCTTGTATCGAAAAGATGCTGCTACTACAAATGCTTGAGCCAGGAAGGTATCAGAAGAGGCCGAGCTTGGAGTGACCCGAGCCTTGGAGCTTGCCCGATTGAAGTCTCAGAGATAGGCTCTCGAGGATGCATACGCAGGGGGCATTGATTTGTCTGCTGAGATCGAGAGGGTGAAGGCCTTAGAGGAAGAGTCGGAAGCTCTACTTTCTTGTGACGATGGTTCAATCAGTAGTTCAGTCAGTGGGTCTGAGGAAGACGGAGGTGATAGGGAAATCCCCGAGGAGGAGGTCGTTGATGTGCCGAGGTCGGGAGATAAACCGTTGAGGGTACCACTTTTGAGGAAATTTTGCCCGGTCAAGTGACCCCGGCGGCAGATTAGGCTTTTATTTGTCCCCTTCTCTTAGGGGCTCTTGTAAATACATCTTTTTTAAATATAAGAATTTCTTTATTTTGCCTTTGATCTGTGATGATTCCAAGTGTATGACTCTAATCCGTTAGCTCTGGCACTAGACCCGGAACATAATAAACCCTTTAACTGATTGGGAGCCGGGTCTCGATTTTTTGAAACAAAGCTAGCCCTTTTAGGCTTCGTTGATAGTCCACGAGTGAGAATTTTCTTGAACTCGGGTAGCCTTTGGACTCAACAACCAGGTCGGCGCTCGCTTGCTTTTAGGCTATTACCAAAAGTCCCCGAGTGAGGGTTCGTTCGGGCTCGGGT